CAAGCAGGCTGTACGGCGGAAGGCAAGCAGCCCGCTGCCCCCATCGCTACTGCCTCCACCGCTACTGCTGCCGCTCGTGAATTTACCGCCACTGCTACTGCTACTGCTACTGCTACTGCCTCCGCGGCCAGTGAATCTGTCGTCGACGGTTCTGGTGGTAGTAGTTGTAAGAGCAACTACGAACCGTAATGGCAGTTGGCGGTTGGTGGTTTGGTTCCTCTGGGCCTCCACTATCATTTGCTGGCGCTCGTCCAGCTCGTCCAGTGGTACGAAGCCAGGGCCCCCTAGCACCGCTAACCGCGGCCAGGCTTTAAAGGCCTGAAGCGCGTGGTGCAGCCAACTGCAGTACGAATCGTACGACAGGCCATCGCCGTCCTGTGCGATGGATTGAGTCGGGGGGAGGCGGGAAGATGGTACGGAAGAAAGCAAGTGGGCAATGTCCAAGAAGCCATGGCCCTGTCTGTGTGTCGTTGTGTGTGTTTGTTGTCTGTGCGTGCGTGTGTGTGTTTGTATGTCAATACGTCGACCGGCATCACCCTGTGTGTGCACATTGGAGGCAGCAGCGGCACCCGCCCTATGGCTTTATTGTGATTTACGGCAGAGTTGTGGACGTTGGAGGTTGGAAGTTGGAAGTTGGACGTTGTGACAATTTAGGTCAAAGCTCGCCATGTCAGAGTGCTAAGGAGACGCGGCTAACAATGACCACGTGCGCCAAAAACCCCTCGTGCCGCAATTCGAAGCAACACATGCCAACATCCTTTCCCCCTACCATTCCCGCTACCTCCTCCTCTCCCCACTACCTTACCCCTCAGCGGAACCACGGGTGCTGGACTCACCCGCAGCACCACCAGCATCTCCCCGACCGCCATCTCCGCCAGGCGCTGAAGTACGGACACTGACACCACAGGAGGCGACTCGCCGCCGCCCTCGCCACTGCCACCAGCACCACCAGCGCCATTATCATTGCCACCTCCATCGTCGCCGCCACCACTGCCGTACTGGGGTCGAAACACAGGGATCACCCTACCGCCACTCTCCGCTGAGATGTCGGCCCAATCCGCAGCCTCATGCACATCATCAAAAGCCACTAGGAGCTCGAAAAAATCCAATGGCATCGGCGGCCCCGCGGCCGCCGCCGCCGCCGCCGCTGTTACGTTGCCCCCAGCGGTGGTGGCGGCGGCGGCGGCGCACGTTAGCAGCGGTTCCACAACGTGGCGAACGATGTACGGCAACCTCCGGCCGCTGTACGGCAAGATGAGGGAGATGCGCGGACGCGGCGGATGGGAGATGTAGTTGCGTGGCTTCAGACGGGATTGGGTGCAAGGCACAAGTAGTAGGTCGTACAGCTCCAGAACGCCTGGGTCGGGGGCAATGAGGGCGCCGACTGTACGACCGCCAGCCGCGGCGCCGCCGCTGCCGCCGCCGCCAATTCTGCCCGTGGCGCTAGATTCTACATTTTCTTCTTCTACGCTGGCAGTGCGGGCCGGCGGCACGCCGCCGGCGGCAGCGCTACCGTTGGAAGTTGAGGTCTGAGGCCCGCGGGTCGGTGCTGACGTGTCGGCTACGACAGAGGTTGCATTACGTAGCAGGCCCTGTGGTATGGCAAATTGTACGGCAAATTGATTCAGAGGGAGAAACTCGAGGAAGGGGAGGCAAGACGGCGGTGATGGCAGCGGCGGGAGTACGGGCGGTTGGAAGAGTGTCCACCTTAGGCCTTTCATTGTATAGCTCTTCAAACCGCCTAACTCCCAACTCCCAACTCCCAACGAACAGATGTCCCACCCGTGAAACCCGCCCACTTACCCACCCGAAATCTAAACACGAACTAAAACCCTAAAAGTCCTAAAGTCCAAACACCAACTTGAAACCCTAAAGCTATAAAATCCCCGCCTCCCTACAAACCCGCTTCCACCCCCAGCAGCCCCACTCGCACCCTCAGCCGCTCCAGCCGCTGCGTAGTAACGGATAGGAGGGAATCCAGCTCCGAAGCCGCTGCCGCCAGACGCCTCGTAAGCTCCTCCTGTATGTATATACGTTTGCATACGTAATGTGTGTGGGGGGGCGAGTGTGGGGGGTTGTCAATCTGTTTGTATATATTTATATTTGTGACAGTTTTGCATGTATGTATGTAAGTACGTCCATGGACATCCAAAACCCCGGGATCCGGAACGGAGGCAAAACGGAGCTGAAAGCAGAGGTTCACCATGTATGAATGTGTCCGTACTGCCGTACTGTCGTACTTAACTTTGAGCCCCAAGCCGATAGACAGATAACGGCACGGGCGGCAACAAAACATTAAATGAAAAAGCTCAACGACGACCAATTTCATATTTAATGATTATATATTTACGTGACCAGCTAGGGAGCCTAATTAGGCTCGACAGAAAATACGGGCACGGATAGCTAGATGAAACAAAGGGAGGTGGAGCAGACAAGTAGGATTATGGTCTAACAAGGCAAACCTTTATGTTTGAGAAGACGAACATCGCCTTTACAAAAAATGGGAAAGCCATCGTGAAAAAAATATTTTTTTATTATATTATTGGTCGATGGTATTTCTAATAAGGATAGGAAAATCCCAATTGGCATTGACGCAGCAGCAGCTGCAGACCTTCAGCAGAGGTAAATCCATTTGAGAGGTGCTCCGAAGAACTCGTTCGCATGTACGGAGGAGGGGCCGTGTGCCAGTAGTAGATTTATTAGCGGCTATAGCAGCTGTCGCAGCTGCAGCAGCAGCTTCAATATCATTGGCAGTAGCAGTAGCAATAGCGGCTGTCCCAGGGCATTCCTGTAGCCCAACGGATATGTACGGCTCCCACCGCCTCTCTGCGGGCGGTTGGATCAAAGTATCCAGATCTAGTTCGTACTGCCGTACAGTACGTTGCAGGTACTGCAGTCTTTGCAGCGGCGCGTGCAGGTGCTGTACACATTCCCCGGCGCCAGCGGATCACATGTGGAGGGACGGAGGGGGGTTGGGACATGGACGTGTAAATAAAAACACACACGCATGTGTTGTCGTCGTTATCGTTTTGATTGTACGGGTCAGTGGTACAGCACATGGCGGACCGCAAAGAGCAGCCCCTGGCATGGCCGGCCAGCATCATCAACCCTAAAACCCTACGAGTACATACTGACATACCGACATACATACCTGCAACTCAGACCGTCCCTCGGGCGACCCCTCCAGGAGGTGCAACAGCCCCCGGCAGCCGGGGTAGACATGCGGATAGGCGGCAAGCAACTTTGTACGACTGTACGATTCCCTCCGCCGCCGCTGTTTCTGCTGCTGTCGCTTTCGCCGCGGCTGTTGAGGGTGTTGTTGGTACTGCTGCTCCGGTTGCTGTTGCGCCTGGCTTAGTGTTCTTCCCTTCTCAACGGTGCGCAACTCGTGTTTTAGCTCGGAAATGGGTTGAAACGGTGCGGATGCAGCTTCGCTGCTCACTCTGTAAAAATTTCGTTTGGAGCTTGAGGTGGCAGCAGGCGACGGTGAGTCGGTTGTTTCGGTCAGGTCGATGCGCCATTCTGCGCGACAGAGCTCAGCGGCAAGCAGTAGTACAGCTATCCGTACAGCTCTAGACATTCCCTGAAATTATGCTTGTGGGCGTATTGTGCCCGTGGGCATGCGTATGGGTGCTGTTCCAGACGTTGTAGTCGAGTAACATGGCGCGGCGGGGCGCAAGCTGCGCCTGTCGCCGTCATTTGCCAGTGAAAGCTGCCACATTATTCAATCATCACAATTCTACTTATTAAGCACATTGTGCGCTGGTATCGGATTCGATATGTCACAAGTGTGGTAACATCCTCAGTTCAGCCTCCTTAAGGACCGATAGATCGGAAAATGAAACTAATGAGGAACTGTAAATGAATATAATTTTTATGCTCTCTCCTTGGATAATGCACGGCGCGCGCTCATAGTTCGGTTCCTTGTCTGACAGTTAGGTGTTCTGTGACGGTTGCCCGTCCGGTGTGGAAGTGTGGGAACTTGCAAAAGTCGGAAAATTTGAACTTGTATCAATTCATTATTGTAAGCGCTATGATGTTAATGTACTATGTATGTATGATGTTATTGCAGAGTTGTTGGCACACGGTTCGCGACCGCTAGTGGTGCAACGCGAAATGAAAGTACGCGCGCGCGTCCCTACTTAGCTAAATGAAGGCAATTTTGTAGGGAAATGCTGAGAAGCCATTTGTTAAGATGAACCAGTTGCACAGAAACAAAATCGTCATGTGAAACCGTTGGCCTGAGCCTTCTTATAAACTGCATAACTGTTCGATGCACTTTTGACAGATTCATGGACAGCCTAAAGCTGTGGCGAACCTGCTCAAGTCAAGCATCCCTGTTTGCATGCTGCGCCCACCTGCTTAAGTCGGTGCCCTTTTTTCTCGCACGCTTGCCATGTAAACCTAATGTACAAATTCCTATCCATAGTTTTGTCTGATAATGCAGCAAGGTCTCGAAACATAGCCCTGGCATGCCGAAAAGTCAGGAAGACGGCCCGCGCCTGGCAGATCACATTCCCTACCCCCAGCCCCTTCGCGGCCCCTTCCCTTTCAAGTTTGGCAATCGCGATAACAGAGTGGAATAACGGTAATACCCCATGCAACCAACCAACTTCCTAGCCTTGGGATTGTGTTTAATACATATTGCAATGCCTTCTATTAACGCCTGCGCGCGGAAGTCAGCAGATCTGCAGATGATGACTTCATCCCGTGCACCTCTCCCTTCTCTTCCGAGGGGGCGCCCCGCAGCAGCAGCAGCAGCAGCAGCAGCGGACACAGCTGAAGAATTTAGCCTCGGAATCTAAGTCCCGCGTTTTTTTATTGTCAATATGTAGAAGTCCCGTGTGTTAATATTTAATATAAAGTAGGTGCTACACGCACACACAGGTGCCAACACAACGTTCGGAACAACCAGCTGAAAGCTGTCCAGCGAACTTGACCATTACCCGCACTCACAGATGTTGGATAGGGGGCCATTTTAGCGTTTAGTCCTTCAAGACGCGCTAGCTACAAGATCGAGGAGCTACAAACACCGATGCTACAGCCTAATACAAAACAACATTCAAGCGCTCACGCGGGCACATGACTGCACCAAAAGGGTACACTTACCTTTTGGGGGTAACTACCCCTAAAGTGCTGAGTCGCTTCATCGACACGGCAGCGCAGGAAGCAAGTTGCGCGTGATGCTAGCTTGTGTCGTGTATGGATGTCCCTGGCTTGGGAAAAGGGCTGGAAGGGTGGGCGGCCTAGGGCAGGGGGCTGGCGGCACGTAACGTAGCTAATAGCTTAGCTGTCATAACATAGCAACTGACAGAGCGGGGTACTTCGGAAACGCGGATTCAGCGGTTTCAAATTCAGCCCTCTATAGACCTCTTCTCACAGAAGAATACTCCGCTGTCCTGCGCTAACATTATTTTTTACACCCACACACCAACGTACACACGCCAAGGAATCAACTTCCAATTGACGATTCTTACAGGAACTCTTCAGATTACAATTTTAAGGAAGAGAATCCACACCAGCACCTCCTCGCCCTTTAAAACTAATAAATGTATGCAACTCAAAACCTGCACATGTCTGCGAGCGCACGTAACAGACCATACAGACGATAAGTCGTCTATCGAAACATCCATCCACCCGCCGTTTGCCATGCAGCCTTTCATGCCTTCACAGCCTTTTCCTGCGCCACAGCAGCAGCGCTTGTCGAAGGTTTTACGCGGCCCGCAAAGGCCTACCTCCTACCGCTATCTCCATACAGAATATGTTTCCAGTTCGATCGAAGTTCCAATAATTAGATCTCAACTTTTATCCTTGCAGTTTACCAGCTTTTTAAGCCGACGCCTTCTTGCCCGCCTTTTCCTTATCCTTTCTTTTCTTAGGGTCTTTCTCCTTCCCTCCGAACAACGCTATGCCGTCCTGTTGGCCCTCATCACCGCCTCCCATCACCTCCTCCTGCATGAGCCCCACCACATCGCCATCCCCCGCAGCTCCCACCGCCTCACCCCCCTTGCCGCCGCCTCCAAGTCTCTTATCCTTCCTCACCTTCTCCTTCCCGCCCTTTTTTGCCTTCTGTCCCCCCTTCGGCTCTGCAGCTGGATCCCCCACAGCTCCCTCCGCACCGCCAACTAACTCCGCTGTCGTAGGGTTGGGAGCTTCCCCTCCTCCTGTCCCCTCCTCCTTGTCACCGTCACCCCTTCCCTCACTCCCCTCGCGCCTCCGCTTTCCCCTCCCACTGCGGCCGCCACCGCCGCCGGCCCCCTCCTCCTCCCCGTGCTCCTCACCCCCACTTATCCCTGCCGTGCTCATACCAGCCTCCCCTTTCCCCACGCCATCCTTCTTTCCTTTCTTCTTCCCACGCTTCTTGTCCTTGGGTTCGTCGGTTTGGCAGCTGTGGGGCGCTGCTGCATTGTCAGCAGCGGTGGAGGTAGCGACGGTGGCAGCGGCGGCGTCGCCTCCAAACAGCTTGGCGAACTGGTCCAGCGTCTTGCTCGCTGAGGCAGCGTGACGGCGCCATTGCTCGGGGTCCCGACTGTAAGCTTCCGCGCCCACCTGGCAGCGTGTGTTTGCACATTTGTATGTGTGTATATGTGTGTGTGTGCATGTACGGATGTACTTCCTAAATTTAGGTCTTATATTTGAAGACGCGGGGCGGTGTGCATGTAAGGCACAAACAGAACACAGACAGTGCATTTTGCATGATATCTCTGGAGCGTCTTGATGTACGGAAATGGGCTATACAAACCAGGTGTGTTGAAGAACCGAAATGTAGCCTGGTTAACCAACTCCCCCGACCACTGGGGAGGCCGGGGAAGTTACGATACCGGCCTTTGGTTCATGTGGTGTGCAATAAGGCCCGCAACGGCGCATGGAGGTTAAGCAGCCGAGCGGGAAGACGCACACTGATGGTTTGGGGAAGGGTTGGTGGGTGATTTTTGCTTATTACTATTACCACTTAATAATAATACTTCATATAATCACCGCTTAATAATAATAGCAATAAGTAATACTAATGATGCATAATAATATACCCGGTATTAACAAGGCCGCTTTACCTCTTTCCCCCCCGGCCCCTCCCTCCCAACCCCTCCGCAAAACACACCTTCCTCAGCAGTGCGGGGCCCCAGTGGGTGCTCTCCAGGGCCTTACTGGCGAGGGCAAGTCGGGATACGATGGCCTCCTTGGCGGCCAGGTCCTGAAGCCGGAGGTGTGGGGTGGAGGTGGGGTAGGGCACCATTGTCGGTGTGGTGTGGAGGTAGGAAACATGTGTATGTATGTATGTTGTTACAGGGTAGTATCACTTCACCAGCGGCCCCCTTTCTCGAGGCAGTTCCCTGCTCTCCCCTGCTAGAGGGGCACCCTAATCCGTTCACCCCACCCGACTTCAGAGTGTGTATGTATGTTTGCGATGTCTAAGAGGAGGACTTGATAAACAAAACATGGGAGCCGGCACGCCGTGAAAAAATGTGAAACGCGACGACGATGAAAACGCACTTCTTAAAAGAAAGAAAAGTTCATCCATGCAAATATATAACCAAATTTAAAAAACCATTACGACACCTCTCCTCTCTCACACAACACAACACTCACCCCCCAGCGATATGCCGTCTCCACCAGGAAGCTTCCAGAGGCGGTTGCCGCCACCGCATCCCAGTGCGCCGCCAGGTTGCCCATCAGCGCCCCCTTCACCTTGGCGGGGGCGTTACCCTCCAACAGCGCCTCCAGAACGCGACTGCCCGCGGGGTCAGCGCCCACCCTGCAGCGATGCGGAAAGGGAGGGGCGGGGCGGGGAGGGGACGGGGCTCGGCGGAGGGGGGAAAGGGGAATAAATAATAATGAAGGGATTCGGAGGGAAGTGGTTTTCATCGCAAAGCCGGAAAACCCGAAACCCGGTATAAAACTCGCGTGCCATTTAAAACCCCAGGTGCAACATACCGGGCTGCATCGTGGGGCTGCAGACCAGCCACGCTGTCTGTAAATGACCGACACGCGCCCTGGCCGTACCGAAGAACCTGCGTACGGCAGTACGGCAGACAGAATGGTGAAGGTTAAAAAAGGGCCGTGAAGGAAAACGAGCCACGAAACGGACCTGATGGATCTTAACAAAAGCAGTGCGTACGAAAAAAACTGAACGGTCGCGCCACAGTATTGAGGAGAGATTTAATTGATCCTTAATTGTTGATCATCAAAAAACTTAAAATTTAAAACCTCAAAAACACACATTCATCGTTAAAACACACAGCAGTTCCTCCCCCCCCTTATTGTGTCCCTCCCCCTGTCCCAACTCCCCACAAACTCCGCCCAGTGGCAACACGAGCTGCAACAACAAAAACACACCTCCCCTCACCTTACCTGAATCAGGATGCTACAGCCCACCGGTGACAGACGTGGAAGCGGTGCCGTACCGCCCGACCTGGCCCCGGCTACAGCCGCGGCAGTGAAAGGCTCGTTGGATCCCACCACGGGCGCGGAGTCCAGACACAGTAACGAGGGAGCCAATACCGCGTCGCCTGCGTGTGTGCGGTGGCGCACGGTGTGAGTGTGTGTGAGTGTGTGAGAAAGAGCTGTCGGAAAATGTTGCTACAGAGTTCGTAGTATTACAATGAATGACCGAAATGTAGCCTGGTTAACCAACTCCCCCGACCACTGGGGAGGCCGGGGAAGTTACGATACCGGCCTTTCGTTCATGTGGTGTGCAATAAGGCCCGCAACGGCGCATGGAGGTTAAGCAGCCGAGCGGGAAGACGCACACTGATGGTTTGGGGAAGGGTTGGTGGGCGATTTCCTGGGTGATGCAATCAGAGAGAGAGAGGGAGGGGGGGGGTAGGAGAGAAACACGGAGGGTCTATGAAGCCATTGGGGGTCGAACCCCCCTCCTCTGTGAAGAAGAGATCTGAAAACATCCGCTGGCAAAAATACCTTTATTATTGTGTAAAAAAACTGCATCCAGTAAATCCGTTACTTCGTTCAACCTCCCCTTGATCGGAATAAAAACGTGACTCCGGTATCCGACGGCTCCCCCTAAAACCCGGTCGACTCAACACACCCAATCCGCACCCACCCGACCGACCAGCCCCCCATCTACCCAAAAAATGCATCCTTCCTCCCACCCACCCACGCACCTTTAAGATTCGGCCACTGCGACATCCCCCCCAGGGCACCGGCCAGTGCGGCGCAAACCTCCCGCTGGCACACACCGTGCCGACCGCAGCACGCAACGAGCGCGGCCACCACGCCACTCCGCCGCCGCCGGAGTAGATCAGGCAGCAACCCGGACAACCCGTCGTACATTGCCTTGGCCTGTTAACGACATACATACATAACGTTTGCGCACCCGAGTCAGCATCAAGGGAGGGGATCTTTGACTTGGGGGGTGGGCGGGGGGGGGTTAACCTTGTCCCAAACTTGGGGGGAAGGGGAGAGAAGAGAGGGGAAATCAAATGATGCTGAGATAGCTCTTGAAAGAGATCTTTTACTTTCTTTACAAGTTCCATATACACCTACACACACGCGTGCGGATGGGTGCCCGTAAAAGCCAAAGTGGCCGCATTGGACGGTAGATTGTTAGCGATGCCCCCCAAAAAGCGCGGCGCGCTGCAGAGTGTGCGGAAGGGAGGAAAGGGGTTGGGAGGTCGCGGTTGGTGTCGCTCCAAACACCCACCTCCCGGGTCACTCACCGTCTCCTTGGATGGCGTTGCTGCCAGTGCGGCCTGTACCACGAAGTTGGCAGAGGGGTGGTATGCCAAGTCCGCAAGTCGTGGCGACAGAAAGCGTCGAAAAAACTCTTCCATCAGCGGTTTGGGAAAAACCTGCAACGAGATAGAGATTCCGAGTTCGAACCTCCATCAGGAATATATCAAGTGTTTTTCATTTTATCATCAAATTTTTTATTGTACCCAACCTGGAATAAGGCCACCCTTCAGGATGCTCTTTACCCGCACCGCAAGCACATCCACAACATACATTTTACAAAAATGAATGAATGAATGAATGAATGGGCAAGCTAGCGAGTGTGAGCGAGTGTGATGAGCGCGGCTCGGAATTAGACTCATGCTACAAAAATTCATGTGTAAATCCAGTAGGCGGATTATCGTCATTGCCGCCACTCACTCGCTCGGGTCGTGTATCGCAAGGGTTCCCACACCCCCGGCCGGTACCGCACTGACATCGCCCTCAACGAGAGCCTAATTAGGCCGGAGGCCGGCCGGCAAAAACCACCGTGCGCAAAACACAGCTACACGTCCCGCACCCAAATTCCTACACTACCCCGCATCTCCCCCCCTCTTACCTCAACCTACCTGCAACATAACCTCAATGAGGTGGCTGGTTGTGGGATCCGTCAACATGGCCGCCACCTCCTCATCCCGACACCCCTCCAGCACCGCCCCCGGGCCACCCTTGGACGAGTCGTTGAACGACGTGGCGCCCAACAGCACTGGAACCACCTGCCGCAGGGCCTTGCTGCGGATGTACGACAGTACGGAATGGTGAGTCAAACGCGGGGTCAGGCTCAGGTTGTATAATTATGTCGTACACAGAGGCCAAGCCGACAAGGGGGAAACAACCGTTGAGGACAAAGCCGCATATTGCGGGTATTATCGACCTTACATACATACATACATACACACACCTGTCACTCGCCGCTGCACGCAACAGCGCCTGCAAGAAGGGGCACGCGTACGGATGATACACCAGCTCCGAAACCAGCGGTCCCACGTAATCATCACTGCAAACCACCGCAGTAAACCGCGATAAGAGATCTGGAAGGCGACACGGGGGCGGCTCGTCGGCGCCGCCCCCTAGCAGCTCAGCCGTCAGCAGCGCGGCAGCGGCAGCAGACTTCTTCCCGCCGCCGCCGCCGCCGTCTCCTCCTAGCCTCGCAGCCAGTCCCGTCGGGCCATCTGACTTGCTGCGCTGCGCCGGGGACCAAAAAAAAGGGTCCTGGTTAGGACTCCGGGGCTTCTGATATTGGGCGGTGTTGGAGGCTGTTTAGGAAGATGTGTAAAACCCTAAGATGCAAACTGTCAACTGTATAACCGTTAACAGGTTTCCTGAGGCGCTTGCCCCCGGGGCCTTTTGGTCTGTTGCTTCTTTTGCTTGCGCCTACCACACTTCAGGGTTTATGGTCGTCTGTCTCACCCACCTTGTTTTCGAGTCCTGGGAGCTGTTGTTGTTGTTGTTGTTGCTTGCCCGGAGGCGGGAGCACATTCCGGCCGGTTAACAAGCACAGCAACCGCCGTACGACGTGCGTGGCGAAACGGTCCGTCACGTAGTCGTACAAGTGCGGGCAAATGCTGTCCGTCAGAAGCGTCATCACCTGGGGTCAATGGTTCATACATATCTCGACCAAATACATATTAACGTAGTGACAAAATAAATAAAGTAATTTAAGCATTTAAATTTAATGAAACGATATTTTCCCAAAATAATAAATGATAAAAAAGAATTTCGCTATTATTATCTCAACGCATCAGAGCCCTTCTCTTTAGTGTTAGCTGGGCCTGGGTCCTTCACACTTGTTACATGCAATAAAATGGTGTCGGTGTCACCACCAACTACTGCAGCAATTGAAGCAAGCGGGAGGAGGATGAGAACTGCTTAGAGATCATAACGCGCTCATGCCCGCAAGCAACACCCTCAATCAAGAACGCATAGAAACAGGGTATTGCAGGATGATTTCAGCAACAAAAGCCCGATCCGCCGAGCAAAGCACAACGAGCAACTCCTCTCGCCCTGTCCCGTCGCCCCCTGCCCCCGATGCATATCATTTTTTCCCTATTATTTTTGCCACTTATACCAGACCGAATTTAATGCGAGGATGCCGTAAAGTGTCGTACCCGGAGAAATTCGTCGTATTCTTCCTGCGTCATGGCGTTCAGCTGCCCCTCTAATCGTACAAGCAGTTTCTCGACCGCATGTGAACCGAAGGGACTGTTGGTAGGGATGCAGAAGATAGCGTAGGCGGAGGAAAGGCCCAACACAAGAACAGAGCCAGAGTCAGAAACGAAAAAGGGTCATAAACGTGTTTTAAGTCATCACCAGAGATTAATCCCCCTTATATGGGCGTGTCTACAGCACGCAAGTAGTCAGCCTTAACTACAGAACCCAAGACCTACACCTTCAGCGCGGCTTAACATAATGAAAGCGGCCCACGCCCGAAATATCACTAGGCAACTGGTCTGGGCATAGACAGCACGCAAGCGGGCTGTCAAGAGTGACCTAGCTGGTCCGTCCCTGCATTCTCTGTGTCCTTGGGCTGCTATTGGGTGCTATGGGCCCCCTAGATATCTCATGGAGCTCGTGAGAGGGTGCAGGGCCCATGAGGAATCAATCGCACGCTATGTAAAGGCTCAAACCTTTGATTTAAAGGCTATTTGAGGTTTATGACAGATTACCATGGTTTCGCAAGGTTTTGACGGAAGGACAAAAGGTCGTAGCTGACCATAGTTAAGTTAAGGCCCAATCACAGGAAACCCAATCGAGTCCAAGGACGCACCTACTGACGAGCGTGAAGAAGCCGTCCACGTCGGATACCGACGTAAGAAACTTAAGCAGATGTTGTGCAGGCGCCGCAGCCATCAACGTTTCCACGTGTCGACTGCAAACGGGGTCACCTCCCACCTTAACCTCCTTCCCCGAAATCTCCTCAAGGACATTTCCAACAAGCAGAGCGCGCTCCTCGTCATCAACAAGGGTCTTAAAGTGCGCTACGACTTCCTCCAAATAGCTTGCTGTCTCCGGATTCACAAGTGATTTTTGTCTTTTATTGTAATGTCCGCCTTCAGCAGTTTCGGCATTTGTGCCGCCGTTATCGGCGGCGGCCGCCCCATCGACATTAGCCGCAGGAGGCACCTCGGCTGTCGGCTCTTCCGCAGCAACCTCCTCAGCGTCCTGCCTCCTCCGCTTTTTAGCCATTCAAAACGCCATGCGCACAATCCAAGCGGGCCCGATACCAAGTGGTTAGAGGTCAACAAAGGACCCTTTCCAACCAGTGGACATCAATAGAGCCTAGCCCAGAAAATCAATAATTGCAAATATCATATGGTATGGTCTTGCTACTTATAATGTGCACTGAGCGAAACATTGCACGAATCGAATCGTACTAACGGCCAACTCCACGCTTTACTCAATGTTTTAACTTTATATGGCGCCCAGAAGGTCTGCTAAGCTGCGCTGTGAACATTTTCAATATTGGTTGCAAATTCACTGGTGTTGTGCAGTCTGCACGAGGTTACAAGAGCTCGCTGGGCGACCAGCATGCCTGTCCTTGGAGATGGCGGAAATTATTGACCTCATCCGTTTTGGTTCCCATGGCATTTAGCTGCACAGCCTTTTGCACCGGTGCTCACCCCAGTAAGGGGACCTTCACATAATTCACCCGGAGGGTTGCATAGCGGTGCCCTGTCCTCTCGCAGCCTTTGGGGGAGGTCGGGCACGCATCCGGTCGGTTGGATCATCCTACACCCCGCTTTTTTCTGTCCTCGAGCCAAACATCCCGCATCCTGGTGACTGCATCCCCCCACCTCCCTCCCCCATCCTCAACATTGGTGGGTTGGCGTCGACCCTTCCAAATGTTTTTGCTGCCATCCTGGCCCCGCTGCCATCCTTATCCTTGCGGGTCCACATTTCTATCCTATTCTTTCCTATCCGCATCCTGTGCCCGGCCCTCCGCTGCATGAAGACCGCTCTGCAACCCTCCTCCTCACCTGGCCAAGCGCTTCCGAACCGCCATGCAAGGCCTGGGCACCGTTGCTTATCGATGTCCCTCACAATCGCAACCCAACTCCTCACCCAAAGCATGACAGGCGTAAGACTACTTAACATCAGAGATCTCGGGCTGTCCTGTTCGGCAATTCTTTTAGTGTCGAATTGCTGAGCACTTACCGCCGTGCCCATGGTGGTAATATATATGGCAACCCATTCTGCTGCACTTTGTGCGCCTGTTTTACTGGTACTGCTTATTCGCGTGGACCTCAAGGATTTCATCAGCAGGTTCAGGTAAAGCAGTTCCAGTCTTGGTGTTTTCTGATCCTTTCCATGTGCTTCATGACAACGCTTTGAAGGAGAAGTGGCGCTCTATTTCCCGTGCGCAAAACGGGAGTACCTGGGCAAGCAGATTTGTAGCGCGGTTTTTGAACTAACTGAAGGCAAACGCACGTTACGGCTAGCGACAATGTAACTTTGGTCACAGGACTTGTACATTTGCATACGGCGTATGGGCTTGGGGCATCGACTTTTTTACTCTTTACCGGATATTTGTAACCCTTTTACAGGGCAGCTAATTTGTTGTGAACTCCTTTTAGGCTCCCTATGAAAATATCCTCCTTACCCGTACTCTAGGGCTTGCACCTGTCGCTATTAAACACGTCCCTCAGATGGCCCAAGATGGCCCATGGGTCCAGTTGCGGACGTTAACAAACCAAAGGGGACAGCTTGCCGTTTCTGCTGCAAATGTTAACACGGCTTGACGGATGTATCACAGATGAAAAATGTAGCAAGGAATGTTCTTTGTAAGGTTAGTTATCGAACGTCCAGATAGTTGGGCAAGCTGTGACTAATGCAGCTGAGCAAAAGAACCATCAATGAAATTATGTTAGTTTTCAACTTTTATTTAAATACTTATTGTCATTGATCCAACCTTCTGCATTGCGACCAGTTGCCGTACTGTAACCCTCTCCCTTCCCTTCCCTTCGCTTGGCAAAGCGTCGTGCATAGATTTCTTTTCTGGATCCGATGTAATACTACTTTAAGCAGGTTATTATAACAAATGCTACGTTATCCTTGCAGGTCCTATCCAATGAGTTCTGAGCTTCTCAGTCTGCAGACAACCTAGCAGGTTTTATGATGAGGTTAGTAAGCCTCAGAATGTAAACGTAGATTTTGACATCGTTTACTGCTTCTATCTCCATGGCAGAAATTTTGTCCGGCCGCGGGCGAATTCAGTCGCGAGGTATGTTCTATCCCTGGGATGACGGACGATTTAAACATTAGGGTCTGAGTAGAATGGATGTTTTCTCAACCTGAGGGGTGCTTGGCAGGGTTGTCGGCCCCCTTGGTGTTGCCTTGTTGACCACAGGAGGAGTGTGATGCAGAAACTGTGTACTTGATATCCCAAGTCATGATGTAACTAACCCGCATAGGACGGAGGGTTTTATGGGTCACAAATGCACCTGGCCTTGCTGTGCGCGATTACCATGCAGCAGACTTAGGCACCGAATCGTTGTGTTCCTTGCTCGTCCTTCCTCCTCCCAAAGAAAATCTACTCAGGGGAGGCGACCTCCCGCTTCGCGCGGAGCGTCGGCCGCCCTTAGAGGCTGGGCCCGGCACACACACCACTCTGCTGCCGAACGCACCGCGCACAGAAATCCCGCTACGATCTCCTCCTCCATCCTCTCACCCCAACCACATGTCCACCTCACACAGGCGACTACGCCGGCTCCGGCAGCGGCGGCGCAGCCGGCAGCGCCGCCCACGGCGGCAAGCTGACTCCAGCAGGGTCATTTCGGGGCCCATCCCAGCTCTTCGTCGGCGCCGGACCTTCGTCTCTTTCTTGTCAGGAGCCCAGTGCCCATACGCTGCCGCCCTTGTCCCCGCCCAGCCATGCATCCGGCCACATCCGGATAGATAGGACTGTGGCAACAAGAGGCAATAACAGCAGCAGTAGCAGTCGCGGCCTGGGAGCTGTGGCACGTCCTGATGGCAGCGGTGCCGCCGCCGCAGCCGCCGCCGGCAACGCCGCGCCTTCCGGGCCAGTGCAGTCGCGCAGCCGAATTGTGCCTGGCAGTAGCGGTAGCGGCGGCGGCGGCGGCAATGGCAACACTGGCGGCGGTTTGTCATCGATTGGCATGGACAGGCGCCGAGCGCAGGCGAATCGAGGAGCCGCCGCCGCCGCCGCTGCCACTGCTACTGCCGTTGGAGGTGGAGGTGCAGCAACAATGGCAGTAGCAACAGCTAGCGGCACAGCCACTACGACAAGAGGGGGGCCCCCCGGTCGACCTGCCGTACGGCTAGCCAAAGGCAATGCATTGGTGCCTGGAGGCGGCGTCATGCGTCGGCCGCCCGCACGTGTCAGGGGACCTGTGGCGGGTACGTGTCGTACGTGACGAACAATTGCCCGTACATGTACGTCAGCTGACAAGGGCGCAGCTTACACGCCTCATCCGACCAGCTAATCCCAACCAGCTTCCAGCCCGCCTCTTGCATAGCCGTGTGGCAAAATGCGGATATAGCAGTTGTAGTCTTACTTAGGGTCCTTACTTGAAATGGATCCCGAGTGCAGGACCCAGTTCTGTCGCTGGCCTCTGGTTATCATACCTGATCATCACCGGTCTGGATACCCCTTTCTTGAGCCATTTGAGAACCCGCCTGAGTACCTATGTGAATACCTCACCCCTTTCGTTATGTAACGCATATGTGATTGCGCCTTGGAGAAATATCTAGGAAAATATCTCCGTGGAAAGAGCTCACTCTTTCAAAGCACTTTCGAACGGGAAGAAACACCGCCGGGTGGTGTTTTATAATCTTAACCCCTCAGGTCCTGGGAGCGCAGCTGCACGTGCGGCGGAGGCTCGCGCGGCCGCCGCGGCAGCGGCGGCGGAGGCGGCGGCTGTAGGGCCGGCCGCCGGCGTCGGCGCTGACGCTGACGACGACGCTGACGGCGCCGGCGGCTGCAGCTATGTCAGCGGCGGCCGAGCCGCTGGCGGCACCGGTGAATCTGGGCCCGGCGGTACGACAGCCAGGGGGGAACCCAGCGATTCAGGATTGGCCTCAGCTCGGCAAACATCCTCCGTACAGACCACGTACCATCAGATGCTGCGTCGCGGCGCCACTGCCAGCTCGGAGGGCGGTCGCATGGCTGCCGGCGCCGGCGTCGTTAATGGCGGCGACGGCGTCAGCGGTGCCGTACCTCCCCCTGTCGCTCAGCTTGGGTTACGAACCCCCTCCTTGTCCTCCCCCGCGGCTTTATTGAACTGCCCGTCATCTCCCGCGCTGGCCGCGGCGGCTGGCGGCCTCGCGGCCACTGGACGCTCCGCCGGCGGCGGCGCCGCCGCCGCTGGGGTGCTGCTCGATGCGACGCAGCAGCCCTTCTCCGCGGGGCCGCGTTCCGACGACGTTTCATCTCAGTCACGCCAACTACAACCGCGCCAACCGCCAACGGCTGTTGATTCGTTGGCCAACAACCTGGGCATTGGGCCTCTTTCCATGTTTGGACCTCTAGCCGCCGCCGGGCCGATGCAGCCCGCCGCGCACACCGCGGCGGCATCACTCGCGCGACCAACGACGTCACCGCCGTCGGCGCTATCGGCGTCTTTGCCACTCGCAGCGCCGGCGGCAGCTGGATCTGGTTCTGGATCCAGACCAGGATCTGGGCAAGTGCATGAGGCCGTATCCTTGGCCTTACGGCGTACGGCAGTTCAAGGGCCTTCGACCGCACTGAGTGGGGAGGGGACTGTGGTAAGCCGGGCGGAACGGGCGATGGTGACGCCGCGGACAGGCATTGGGGCGGGACGTACGGCATCCGCCGGCAGCGACGCCGCTTCCGCCACACTGCCCCATGGGAGTGGCCAGACGGAGGTGCCGTCAAGGGGTGTGTTGCGAGAGTCATCCGCAGCGCCGGCGGTGCGCATGGCGGCAGCACGGGGGACTTCCGTGGCGTCCTCGGCGGCAGCGCCGGCGACGTCATCGCGGATGCAAGTGGCGGAGGCGCGAGCGGCGGTGCCGAGGCCAGCGGGTCGGGCGGCGGCGGCGGCGGCGACACCAACGGCATCGGCGGTAGGCGGCCCAGGGACTTCGGCACCGACCACCACGCGCATCGGCATGGCCCGTGGCGGTGCCGCCGCCGCCGCCGCCGGCACGTCGACCGCTCAGTCCGCCGCCGGCATCAGAGCTCGCGGAGCCGCTGCCGCGGCTGCAAG